CAAGTCTTATGTCTGAAGTATACGGTAAGCATTATTAAGTGTTATCTCTGAACTATACGCTAAGCAGTATTAAGTGTTATCTCTGAAGTATACCGTAAGCGGTATCAAGTCTTACCTTTGAAGTATACGGTAAGCGGTATCAAGTCTTATGTCTGAAGTATGCGGTAAGCAGTATTAAGTGTTATCTCTGAAGTATACGGTAAGCAATATCAAGTCTTATGTCTGAATTATACGGTAAGCAGTATTAAGTCTTATCTCTGAAGTATACGGTAAGCAGTATCAAGTCTTATCTCTGAAGTATACGGTAAGCGGTATCAAGTCTTACATTTGAAGTATACGGTAAGCGGTATCAAGTCTTATGTCTGAAGTATACGGTAAGCAGTATTAAGTGCTATCTCTGAAGTATACGGTAAGCAGTATTAAGTGTTATCTCTGAAGTATACGGTAAGCAGTATCAAGTCTTGGCTATGAAGTATACGGTAAGCAGTATCAAGTCTTATCTCTGAAGTATACGGTAAGCGGTATCAAGTCTTATCTCTGAAGTATACGGTAAGCGGTATCAAGTCTTATGTCTGAAGTATACGGTAAGCAGTACTAAGTGTTATCTCTGAAGTATACGATAAGCATTATTAAGTGTTATCTCTGAAGCATACGGTAAGCATTATTAAGTGTTATCTCTGAAGTATACGGTAAGCATTATTAAGTGTTATCTCTGAAGCATACGGTAAGCATTATTAAGTGTTATCTCTGAAGTATACGGTAAGCGGTATCAAGTCTTATCTCTGAAGTATACGGTAAGCAGTATCAAGTCTTATCTCTGAAGTATACGGTAAGCGGTATCAAGTCTTATCTCTGAAGTATACGGTAAGCATTATCAAGTCTTATTGCTGAAGTATACGGTAAGCGGTATCAAGTCTTATCTCTGAAGTATACGGTAAGCGGTATCAAGTCTTGGCTATGAAGTATACGGTAAGCAGTATCAAGTCTTATCTCTGAAGTATACGGTAGCAGTATCAAGTTAATTATATTTAAAACACAGAATACGAATACTGGATAGAAGATAAAGTATGATAATATGGAATATCTTGTGAAATTAAACAAATAAAGTAACTGGTTAGAAGTTTTACGTATTCTTGGAATACAATTTAAGTTTACATTACACACACACACATATATATATATATATAACTGCTTTCATTCACTAGTTTCATTCTTTGTTTTAATTGTTTTTACCAAAATTGGTAACGTAAAACTTAAAATACCGTAGCCAATCTGAAGATTTATCTGGTATTGAGACTTAGAACTCGTTTATCAGCAACCGTTAAAGCTACACAACATATACCTAGCCTCTCTCAGTAAAAATCTATAAATATATCTCTTTATATTTACTTATTTATCTACGTAGTAAGATAAATAGTGCTTGCTAAAAGTTATGAGTATTCTGTATTGAAACAACAAGTTGAGTGGCGGAAAGGCGATTCAATATTTCCATTTCCTGACAGTAAACCTATAAATAACGTCGGCACACGGCTCAAGTTGTACAGATCGTGTCTGCTTATCCATTGACATGTGGCTGCCAAATGAAGGAATAGAGGGCACTCATCCGCCCTTGTCTGCTTGACTCGTCAGCATGGGTGATTGTGTTTAAGAGGATCAATATGAGATATTTATGTTAACATATGAGCTGTTATGTACTTAGTAATTCTTCAAACCCTTTTTTTCTCATAATAGTTTTCTACACTCTTAACATCCAAGTTAAGACTAATCCCTTCACAGACGGACTGGTATTTATCGATATATTCCCTGATTGGACACTGTTTTTAATTCTTGGTAATTTTGTTTATAATGCTGCAGTTTTTGCTACATAGTTTCTAAGCCACTAAACAGAATTTATTTATAATTTCACGGTAAATTACTTTGTTTTGTGACGTTATATTGATATATCTTGTTATCACTCAAAAATTGCTTGCGCGGTATTTTTATTCCTTCCTTTTTATTCAGTGTCGACAAGGCCTTTCGCCTAATATCAGGGATTATCAGATCTGCTTAAATACGGCTGATATAGTAATGGTCTAGGACTTTAGGCCCATGATTCTCAAACTATTGTACGTCTACCACTGGTGGCACGTGAAAAAAAGAATGTACAAATTATACAATTTGTAATAAGGCTCAATGTGAGCTTTCCGCGTACATAAACACTACTCTTCTTACTACTACACTCGCCCTCCGCCTGGATAGATTCGCCAATGGCGGCCTGGTGGTTAAGACACTCAACTCGCAATATGAGGATCGCGGGTCCGAATCCTCGTTGCCAAACACGCTTGCCCTTTCAGCTGTAGGGGCGTTATAATGTAACGGTTGATGCCCCTATTCGTTGGTAAAACAGTAACCCAAGAGTTGCCTTCCCCATAATATATCAATGCTGAATTCGGTACGACTTGCACAGATAGCCCTCGTGTAGTTTTTGCGCGAAATTCAACTTAAATCAAACCTTTTAAGTTGACAAAAAATCGCACCATCTATTATTCAACTTTGCCAAAAAAAACAAACAAACAAACAAAAGCAGTCACATTATTCCTATTAATGTAATAAAAATATTAATTTTTGCTGTTAAGTTTTCTTTTTATTCTAAACTAAGTGTCTAGAGTGACCTAGACACTATTTGTATGATCAGTTACATGAACAACTGTAGTAATGTGAACTAGGTTAGATATCTTAGTAACGGGACAGTAAAACAATGCATATTTTTTTCTGACAAATTTAATTTATTGAAAATATACATAGGTACAATACGAAGCTCGTACTTTCTTCTCTCACCAGAGTGTAGTATGTGTCGTTTTGTTTCGTCAAAAATATAAAAGCAAATAATATTACTACCTTGCCCTTTTTGGTCTTTTTTTATTATAAAACAATACAAGCAAATAACATTATACTCAAGATTTTTGAAATATAATTTATGTAAAATCGTAGCGGTAAAATTTTTACTGTATTTACGAATTTTATGTACTTTGTTGTCAATTTGATGTGCAGGATAGATGAAGCTATTATAACCTTTTATTTTATGTTATAAATGTAACAAACATGAAGGATACAATGTCAACATGAAATGTAATAAAAAAACATGAAACATAAATTAATTAAGGAAATGTTTTGTTTCCAACTCATTGTTTTATATTTTGTCTACTTATGAATTTCGTGACTCCTGTTTTTCACTTTTACCATATTTGCTTCTATGGAAAGAATCACGTGAAACTGGTGAAAGAGAATACGGTAGCAATCAGCGTGGTTGTTGATTCACAACCAATGAAAACTAGTAAAGAGCTCGATGAAGAAATCAAGGCTTAGTTCATGATTATTTCCTCTTGAAAAACCATGTAATCATATCCAACCGTCAGATATTTGTTTGTTTAAGTGTCAGCTGAGATCCACCTGACAAACTGTAAGTTCTGAGTGTACCCACAGTGGCACTTACATGGAGTAATGTTTCTGAGAGAAGGTTAAATAAAGAAAGAGAATCCTGCCGTCATGAAAATTGTTTTGATGTTAAGCGCAAAGCTACATAATGGACCGTCTGTGTCAGCCCACCACGGTTATCGATCCCAATTTTTAGCGTCGTAAGCCTTCAGACTTACCGATGAGGTAACGGAGTGGGGTTCGGCATGAAAATAAAAACTAATAGGAAAAGTATATAAATCAATGAAAAGAAAAACGTTTGAAATTGCAACTGTAAAGAAAATAGTAATACAATAAACCAAATTTAAGAAACAACGATAGTTTTAAATTAGATATAATTAGCAATATAATAATCCGTTCGTGTAAACAAACTTTAAGAAACAGCGATAGTTTTAAACTAGACATAATTAGCAATATAATAATCCGTTCGTGTAAACAAACTTTAAGAAATAGCGATAGTTTTAAACTAGACATAATTAGCAATATAATATCCGTTCGTGTAAACAAACTTTAAGAAATAGCGATAGTTTTAAACTAGACATAATTAGCAATATAATAATCCGTATGATAGTTTGAATACTTTTCTTATGTTTCGACTATTGTTTTTCCACAGTTGAGAAATTTAAGTTCGGAATTTGTTAATTTGAGAAATTGTTCATAAGACAAACATCTAGATATTCTTGAACTAGTTTATACGTTTAATTAACGATATGACAAACCTGCGAACAGCCACAGCACTTATGTGGCACTTTACTAAAATAACAAACCTTTTTCGATTATTTAACTAAGTGTACAGTATGTAATAAATACAAATTTTTCTCATATTGACTGCAATGTCATCTTACTTAGAAGACAATGTAAGGCGTATATTTCAGCTTTAGAAAAATACGATTCATTGTGTCCTGATTACATATTCAGAAGAAACTCAAATTATTCAGCACTGAGAAAAATTGCATTGGTTACATGTACTCGCTGACAACAAGAACTCTGAGAACAATTCTGTTGAAAGTGTAAGTACCCGGATTTTAAACAGAATGCACTGTAAAAAAGAAACGTTGTATTGTAAGTTAACACAAATAGTCTGTTATTTCACAACAACACAAATTGTGTTCCCCAAACACATACTTGTGTGAACTATAACACGATTGTTGTAGCGATATAAGCACAAGTTTTGTGTGTTTCATAACGATACAAATGACATGCGGTTCTCAGTTCAGTGTTATGATAATTTAAACACATTATTATATTGTTAAGTTACATTTTTGTTATGTTCATATAGATTCTTAAAAATTCAACACAAAGTTTGTGCATCAGCCAACATGTTTATATTCTGTTGTTTGTTTTACTACGATTACTATGTTACTTTTAACTTGAAGTTGTGTTGTAGTCAGAGCACGAATTGGAATGTTTTAAACACATTTTTTTTCTTTTTACAATTTACTCACCACAAACACACACACATGTTTCAATTATAAACACAAGAAAAACAGAGATTTCAGTAAAATTATATTCCATTTTTTCACTATAATACATTACCATACTTTGTATATTGTCTTAAAAACAAATCCTTTCTGTAAAGTCGAGCAAGCTGTCACTCAGTTAAATATTTCACCTATACGAGAAAAAAAATATAGTCGTTTCGTTGGAGTGACCAAAAGTTTTCAAACAAATGTAGGCCCACACTTTTCACTCGACCACATAAGTGTATAGGGTTAGAAGGGAATGTCTATACCTAAACAAAGGCTGTCCTACCTTGGTAGGAGTGACCGGTGGTCAGTACGCAGACGCTTTGTGGAGATGGTACTCGTGAGCCGCGACTCCACCAAAGGGCGAATGTTCGTTACTAGGTGGGGTTGACATGCCCCCTACCGATTGACAGATGTACCACTCACTTAAATTTGTTGTAGGTCCACACGCACTTAAACTGTGAGGCGGATTGGACTGGCCTACGGGTAATGTCCTGAGGCCCGTGATCGCAGATCGTCCACCTGATCCGACTAGACTATTTCGGCTAGCGCATTTTCCACTCGTGGTGTTGCTCGGAGTGTCGCTGTCGTAGCCCGAACCAGAAGTATTACTCCCAGCAGAACCCGGAGGAAGAGCGTTTAGTGGCGGTGATGACTTTCCGTGGATCTTCATGTGTTTTCTCAAGGAACTCGGGTGTGTGTAGCTCTTGTCACAGCCTCGGATTTTACAGTTGTAAGGCTTGTCACTCGTATGCACGTGGGAATGCTTTTTACGGTCAGAACTGTTAGCGAACCTTCTATCGCATCCCTCGTATTCGCATTTGAAAGGCTTTTCACCTGAAGGGGAAAAAATAAACAATAATTTAAAGTTTGCTTATGAAAACATTAAAATATAATATAGAGATATTCATTTTATCAGACAATGTTGGAAACTTCAAGCTATAAAATACACAGAAACAAAAATTCACTCCAATATTTTAAAAACGTAAAATATACCCACATTAAGTGTACA